CTCATCTCTCACTCGGCTCATTAGGAACCAAGCCTTCAATGCATGAGCCTTTGGAGAACATTTCTGATCAAATAATGAGCAGGCGAGGTGAGAAGCACTAGGTTCATCTGTCATTCTAACAGTCACATTATCACAAAATTAGCCTTCCTGACCTTCAGGGCATACACTTGTCTGGAATCTACTCTCACCACTAGTAAGCAGAGTTAAACTACAAATTCTTTGTATATAAACAAAGTTACCACAGCGGCTCATATTTCAGAGTGTTTTTCCCACTAATTTTAGAGTTTTTCTCTGCATGGCCAAATATCACTATGTCTATATCTCACGAACCCAGAACTAGAAAGCATTCCAATAGTATTACAAGTTATTTCTTAAACAAATTATATATACCAGAAGCTAGAGAGGTGGCTCAGCAGGTAAGAGAGAGTACTTATTACTCTTCCAGAAGATATCTCAGTTAGTTTTCAGTTCACACTGCCTGTTCCAGAGAATCCAATGCCTTCTTCTAGCCTACATGGATGTTAACCTGTATTTGAACGCATGTATGCGAGCATACACAAAAACAAAACTAAAATAAATCTTTAAAAAAAAAGGAAGAGGCTCAGGACATTCTAAGCAGTTCAAGTAATAGAGGTATCTTCTGGGCCAGTGAAATGGCCGTCTGGCTGTCAGGCCTGATGACTAGAGTTTGATCAAGACACATGTGGTGGAAGAAAAGAACCAACCACTGCAGGTTTTCCTGTCCCCACATCCACAGCACGCTATGAACAAACACATACATACATGTGAATAACTACAACTTTTAAATGATATCATTTTAGGATCTATCTATCATCTATCTATCTATCTATCTATCTATCTATCTATCTATCTATCTATCTATCTATCTATCTATCTATCGTGCTGGGGACCCATCCCTTGTGTTGGGGACTTTACCCAGGACTTTGCACAACTGACTAGATTTCAGCAATGTGAATGTTATCTGTATAAATTGAACTTTGTTCTAAGTAGGACCTGAAAGACTTTTCCATCTCAAAACCAAAACATTACTAACAGATAAGTTAAACTCTTAATAATTTTCCAAACCAGAGAGATCAACTTTCCTAATCTGAATCTCCTTTCAGTCACTCAAGTCCCCAGCCAACAACCTCTTTTGACCTCATCTGGTACCAGGTACACAGGTGTACACATACATGCAAACACCTATACACATAAAAATAAACATTAATTTTTAAAAAGTGAGAACTGCCCTGTTGTATCCAGAAAAGTTTCCTTGTAATCATCTATTACTCTTGCTTCCTCTTTTGCCAATGACCTCAAACCCTGGGTGGAGGGCAGCTGCACACAGAATTCACAACAGCTAAGACAGCATGTGCAAGACCTGTCAGATACAATTTCAGCCTGGAAAAGGCAGAGAGACACAAAGTCCTTTCCTGCCTAAAGAGCTACTGGCACTTGATAGCTACAGTGAGAGGTGCAGTCAAGTTTACTTTAAAGGTGCAGCTGGTAGACCATCCTTGAGTGAAGGCCACATATTTAATGGTACATGGCAGTATAAACTGCACTTGGGGCGAAAATAGACAGGCATGTACATACAAAGTTGGGTGGTCTGGGAAGAGTAGGAAGAGGGATTGAATATGACCAAAATGCATTATTCAAAATTCTGAAAGAATTAAGAAAAAATGAGGAGAGGTGGACTGGCGAGATGACTCAGTGGTTAAGGTCCCAGGTTCAATTCCCAGCATCCACATGGCAGTTTACAGTTGTCTAAACACCAGATCCTAAGCCCTTTTCTGGCCTCCACAGGCACCAAGAATGTATATGGTGCACTGGTTTTCACAAGTTCTTTTTTACTTGGAATTTACTGTGTCAAGAAATTTCTGTGCCAAGCAGTATACCATGAATTTTATAACCCTGGTATTGTTAAACTAATTTCCTAGTTTGCTCCAGGCTCAGAAAGGATTCTCCTTCCATCCCTACTGGTACTGAGGATTTAGCTCAAGACCTCGTGCATGCCAAGAAAGACATGAGATGTAGGAACACACAGAACTATGCAGCACCAGACACAGGGGATGGATTGAGAAAGATTTACAGAGTGAACACTCTTTTATATTATCTCAGCCACACAGTTTATGAGCTGACACGCATGTGACAAGAGGTGGATTCACATTCAGTCAAAACCATCACATGTGAGTATGTGTGTAGGCCTATTCTGGAGTTAATAAGGAGAGCATAGGGAAGGAAAAGAGGAGGGAGAAAGCCCCCACTGAGGCTGTGGTGTATGCACTAAGTTTTAAAGAAAAGAACCAAGTGAAAGTATCCAGAAAAAAGAATAATCATGTACAAAAATTAAAGAGGAGAGAAGAAAAGTTCTGGAAACGGCAAATGGAAGATACATTCCACAATTCACTCATCTCAGCTTACCAGATTTTAGGTCCATCAGAGAGAATCTCTATGGCTACAGCACTAGCAGTGGCTGGCAAGGCAGGTAGAAGTGAAACAAAGACAGCCCTCAGCTGCTACCCTTAGGCTAAAAACTATGAATTATGTTTAACAGCAAAGAGGAAACACACGAGTTTCCTACACATGAGAAACACATCATCAACTTGCACAGCATAGTGAATAAATTAAAGATTAGAAGCCAGGAAACTGGTCAAGAGGCTATAGAAGAGTCTGGCAGTGGGGTAATGAGAAACAAACCAGGGCTATCATAAAAAAATAAATAAAACAACTTTGCAGTATTTTTATTTTCTAGTTACCACCATTAGAAAGTTAAAAATAAAAGTGTGTGTGTGTGTGTGTGTGTGTGTGTGCACGTATGTATGTACATATAAATGTAGTGGGCTTACTACTATTGACGGCAAGATGAGGGGGAGGGAGAAGTCACACTTCAGATCATAGGAAGCCTAGTTTATGGCATAGTCTACAAAGAAGCATTAGGCTAAGCAGTAACTACAGTACCACCTGCTATGAAATAATTAAATAATTTTAGTAATAGTAAAAATTACACAGTTTGGTCCAGCAAGATAACTCGGTGGCTAAAGACATTTGCCATAATGCCTGACAACCTGAGCTAAATTCCTGGGACCAACAAGATGAAAGAAATGACTCTTGTAAGCTGTTCCCTGGCCTCCATATTTGTGAACACCCCCCCCCACACACGAAATGCAAAATTTTAAATTTACTTATTCTAATACATCTTATTATTCTACCACACAATCATTAAAATTTAAGAGAAACTTCACATTCATATTTTTTGGGCTATTTTAAATCTAACTTTATACCTATCTCATTTGAACACTAAACTTTTAATTGGTAGGCTTGGTAAATATTTAGATTTCATAAAATTTACAGAGAAAAGAATAGATTTGCATACCCAAAATTTCTTATGACATACTTTAACATTTTCCAGTGAATGATGAACTTGTAAATTTAAAATACAGGGCCAGCAAGATGCTCAGCAGGTAAAGATCCCTGCAGCCAAGTAGATGACCTGAGTTTCTTCCCAGAGATCCACATAGTGTACAAGGAGAACTGACTGTTATAAATTATTCTTTGACCTCCATATACAATGTCCACACTCATATTTACATACAAAATGAATAAATAAATGTAAAAAAATTAGATTACATTAAAAATTTACAGTATTTGCTGTGTGGTGGTGGCAAATGCCTTTAGTCCCAGCACTTTGGGGGCAGAGGCAGGCAGTTCTCTGAATTCAAACCCAGCTTGGTGAACAGGATGAGTTACAGAACAGTCAGGGGCTACAGAGAAACCGTTGTCTGGAAAAACAAACAAACAAAAACAAAACTTAAGGGGGGGGGGAATCACAGTACTGGGGTAAAGATGGACAGATGGATCTAGGAACTCACTGTCTAGCCAGCTTAGTCAAATGGTGAGCCCCAGGTCTCAGAGAGAGCCTGCCTCCAGAAAACAGGTTGTATGACTCCTGAGGAACCAGGAGAGCAGAGCTTTGGGCTTCACTGGGATACACATACATGCGTATTTTCAGGAACATACACACATGCACCTGCACACACAAACATATACCCACCTACAAAAAATCCAGTTCCTCAGGTATGCTAGCCAGCTTGTGGGTGGTCAGTAGCTCTATGTAACTATGACAGAGGACTTGGGCCTAAAAAGTAACAAAGGTATTGGCTACTGCCCACTCCCACCATTGGCATTTAGTTACTTAATGCTGAGGATATCTGAGTATCAGCACACAACTTCCGAAGTATTAATTATGAAAATGGTGCCACTGGCCCTATCTTCATTACTGTATGGCTTACTTTCTCAATTCCAATACCAAAATAGGTAAAAGGGGAAATCTTCAAATAACTAAATAAAATTGTACTGTACTACCTAACGCATAAAGCACACTAAAACATGGTTGTAGGATGGACACTCTTTTCCATGGCCCAAGGAATAATTCAGTTGTCTGTGGCCTATGTAAGTCTTATACTATTTTCCTATTAACTACTTAAGTTTATTAGACTTTATTTTAAAAAAAGGCAGGAAAAAATACTTTCAACTGTGTATTTATTAGGAGCGTTACAGTGGAATGGTTAAGAGCATAAGCTCGCAGTCAGACAGCCTGGGTTCAAATCCTGGTTCTATCATTTATTAGATGTGTGATCTTGGCAAAGTATTTGGCCACTCTGGTTCAGTTCCCTGTTCTGCAATACTGTGCCTCAAGGAAATAATACACAGAGAACACTTGGCACATAGTAGCTGCTTAGCAAACATTTCTGTTAGAGAGATGCCAGAAAAGTTGAAATTATGACTAAAGTCGAAGCTAGGCTTCTTAATTTTCTATGTTCCCCACATCATATACCTCGGGGTGGGGACTTGAAGTTCTCAAAAGGAGTATCTTCCATGCAGTTACATTCAATAAAAAACAAAAAACAAAACTAAATAAGAAACTTCATCTACTGACCGGGTAATTATGCAGCATAGCGGCAGTCAAGCAAACAGAAAAACACCAACATTGGCCTTACCTGCTTTTCCGTTTTCGAGGTAGTTTCTCCACTGTGCCAGTCAGTCTACAGACCAAACAAATGAAATCCGTAACTAAAAGAGAGCACACCCTCGGCCTCCCCTTGCCTGTAAGGCACTCCATGTACCACCCTATGGGGCCAGAGGCTGACCACAGGTTGGCCAGGTCTACCCCTGACTTTACAAACCCCTCATGTCGGGCTTCCCTTCCCTCCCTCAACCAAGCGATCCCCGGACTCACTTGTCCCCGAATGCCCCGTGCCTCAACGCTCGGCTCCCCCAAACCACCCGGCCCGTCGGCCTCATTGTCTGCCCGGAGCCGCAGGCCCCCCAGCTCCCCTCGGCCGCAGCCCCGCCCCTCAGCCCCGATTCCCCGCATTCCTCGGCCCCCGGTGAGGCGCGCGTCCTCCGCTCCAGTCCTGCACATCCTCGTTCCCCGCCCCGACGAGCAGCTCGCTCTCCGCGCCCCCAGATGCTGCAAGCCTGCACCCCCGCCCCTCAGGGCTCGGCCGCTCCCTCGGCCCCAAGCCTCCGCCTGGCACCGCAGACCGCCCCACCTGGGGGCCAGGCGACTCCGCGGCTGCTGGGACTGCCGGGCTCCTCTGACCATCCGGCTCTTGCTCCGCCGCGGGAGCTGTTCCGGCGGCCGCAAGGCTCGCTCGGGATGCTGAGGCAGCGGAGGCTGGAGTAGGCGGAGAGACGGGAGGAGGGCCTCGCGCCTCGGCCAGGCTAGCCGCGGGGCCTGCCCCCTCCGCGCCTCTTCTCGGTTCCTATTGGCTGAAACTGCAGCGTGCCTGAAAGTCCGACCGCCGATTGGGAGCTCGAGCCTTCACGTCCCGCGCGGCCCACCCTGAGGTTTGGTTGAGACTGCAGGTGGCGGCAGAGGTGCCTTAAATACTGCTAGCAGAGCGGGAGGAGCCCGGCGCGCCACCGTGCGCCAGAAAGGGGGAATTGCGTCTCCGGCGCCAGACACCTGCTTCCAGGTTCTTTGGTTCTGCATCCTGCATCCTAGACATCTGCTAATTCCCCTGCCTCCGCACAGCCCCAGAACCAAATCAAGCACTGTACTTTCTCCAAATACATTCAGAAGTTCGAGGGCAAAGCAGCTCTTCTTCATAGCGTCGTTCTGAATCACCTCGAATGCAATCCCTACCAGCATCTTGCAGAAATAATTTCATCTCAGTGTTACCCTTCGAAGAGGTCACGATACCAAATTGTAAAGACCCAGCAATAAAAATATGTTTTAGCAGCAGGGGAGATCGTAAGCTTTGTAAGAAAGCACGAAAATTTCTTTAATTATCACGAAAAAAAAAGAAAAAAATTGCAAAAAGAACCAATTGCAGTAACTACAAGAAACGTATTCCATTTTGAAAAGCATAAAACGTACTGCTTCTTGTGTAAGCTAGCCATTTTGTGCCATTGCAGATGATTCGAAAAATCTACATCAGTTAATCAGTTTTAGTATAAATTTCACTGCATTTTGACAGACTCACGTATATAAAACGACCACCATGTAAGTACAATAAATATTAGTAACCTATTCTGCCCTAACAAAGCTATCTTTGAAAATATAGCAATTTATATGTATTGCATCTGAAGAATATAATTTTGGGGGTGGGAGGGTTTTGAGACAGGTTTCTTTGTATAGTCCTGACTGTTCTGGAACTCATTTTGTATACCAGGCTGGCCTCGAACTCAAAGAGATCTGCTTGTCTCTGCCTTCCTGGTGCTGCGATTAAAGGGGTGAACTATCATGCCTGGCGAAAAATTCAATTCTTAAGACGAGTAACTACTCTATATAACTTTATTCCTATACAGAGTTGTCAGGAAGATCCTAAGTTCATTTGGGAGGAGGCATAAAATTTTCTCTTTAGTCCCTTTCATTTTAGAACACATTTTGTTTAAACACACCAACACTGCAGTGGCAGAGAGATGGCTCAGCAGAGTAAAAGGTGCTTGCTGTTCAAGCCTGACATTGTGAGTTCAGTCCTGGAAAGCACAGAGCAACAGACTCTCAAGTCTCGGACCTCCACGTGCACATGACACACACCCACACACCTGCACACACATGAAAGCAAATAAAAATGCATGAGGACAAATCTCCACAAATGGATAGTATCCCAACTAGAGAGATACTAATTTTTCCACAGAACCAAATGTATTTGGTGCAATGTTTTATCTTGTATCTATCCTTGATGCTAAGATGGCTTTCCTCTTATGAAATATGGGATGCAGTAAGATATAGTAGTAGTTTATTTTTTGCATTACTGAAGAGCTCTTACTACATTTAAAGAGAGGGAAGCAGAGGGAAGGAGGAAGAGGGAGGGTGATTCATGTGGGGACATGGAGGAAGAGGGAAGGTGATTCATGTGGAGACATAAGTCAACTTGTGGGAGTCAGTCGTTCCCTCCTTTCATCATGTGGGTCCTGGAGACCACACTCTGCTCATTAGGCTTGGTGGCAAACACCTTTACCTATTGAGCTACCTTGCTGTCCCACTGCTGAGGATGCAGTCTAGGACCCCCCAATATGTTCTCCTCCATAATTGCGTTATAGGAATTTTAAAGTTGTATTTACGTGTACTGGTGCTTTGCCTCCATGTATGTTTGTACATAACACGCATGTCTGGTGCCAATGTAGGCTCCCTGAGGTGGAAGTTGCAGATTGTGATTTTCCATGTGGGTGCTGGAAATTGAACCCTACGCTTCTCTGGAGAGCAATTTGTCCTCTTAACTACTAAGCCATCTCTCCAGCCCTATTATGGGATTTTTAAAAATCGCTTTGACTAGAGAAAATATTATCAAACGTCTGTTGTTTCCCCTAAATGACGTAATTCTAGAGCCACAGTCACCAATTATCTCAATTTTATTTTCTATTTAATTATTAACTCAGCAAGAAGAAATCAAGGAGTTTTGGGTGAAGGGATCCTGCTGTAATCTTGAAATATCACTCATGACATTCTTACTAAAATCCTCTTCCTACTACCCAACATTTTCCACGACTGGCCTCTCTGAAGCATAGACAATCTGTCAATAGAACTGTGCTAATTGTTGGGTCTTCCTAAATGTAACCTTCATGTTGTGTGCAAGTTCTAGCATCTCGACTTCTGGGCTCATGAATATTCCATTACCCAGCCCATTATTGTGTGTGTGCCCACACCAGACACTTCCTCCAAATCCCTTGTACTAAAGTCTACACTGTAGGACTGGACTGGTGGCTGTGGTTAAGAGCGCTTGTTTGCAGAGGGCCTGGGCTAAGCCCTCACCCAACGAGCCATGCCCAACCCATTCCAGGGTGTCTGATGCCCTCTTCCGAACTCTGCAGACATAAACACAGGCAAAAGAAATCACATACATAGAACAAATAAATTCTTTTCCTTAAAAAAGTTATACAGTTAGTAGCCATGTTTGACCCCGAGTTCCTCTTCTTAATCACACTGCTTTTGATTGAGTCCCCAGTAGATAGCAGCTTTGGGCCAAGTACTGGTCATTTTCTGGGCACTATTCTTAATATTATAACCAGCTTCACTATATTTTTAGAAAAGAAATGGAAGATCAGAGAATTTAATTTGTTCAGGATGAAAAAGTTGCAAAACCCAATAGTGCTTAAAAGAGAAGGCTTGAGCAGTCACTATTTAGTGCCTTCCAGGGGGTTCAAGTTCCAGTTTTCCTGAGACCTTGACAGCTTACCTGTCCTTTCCAATTCCATTCTCTTATCTGGGATAGGAGCAATTTAGACATACATCCATACCAATAGTACCACAAGATATAAGCTGGGCATGGTGATGTATGTCTTTAATCTCAGCACTTTGGAGGCAAAGCCAGGTGGATCTCTACAAGGCCAGTGTGGTCAACATGGTGAGAACCTGTCTCAAAACCAGTGCCCCCGGACCCCAAAAAATTAAAAAGATCACAAAATAGGACATGTACAGGCCAGAAATATAGCTCATTGGTAGACTGCTTACCTAGCATGCATAAGGTCCTGGGTTCATTCTTCAGTAGCGCAAAATAGGGCATGTTAGCATTTATCTAAAACGCTTGATTATAGATTAAAAAAATTCCACTCCCATTTCTATATAAACTGCTCAGAACCATTTTTAGGTAATCACAAGAGTGGCATATACTGCAATAAATGTTTTTGTATAAACGTCATGCATTGTTGAATAAAGAACCATGTTAGTAATCTAGACATAAACTTATTCTCATAAGAAAGGTACATATTCATGTGGTGAAGGAAACTTGCATAATTCTAGGGGACTTTTCAAATGTTTTGTTTTGGTTTTGGAAACCAAAAACCATATGTTTCATTATCATTACACTATAAATACACAATTGAAAGAGTTGTGATGGACCTCATGAAGCATGGTGTTAGGCACAGAATCCAGGTTGTTAAAAACAGTGCTTTTAAGGAGCTGAACACATACCTCCTAAGCAAATGTGGGTTGGGGGTGGGGGTGGGGGTGGGAAGGTTACTTCTGTTTATCAGTCACACAACCAAGTGAAAGAGTAAGCATCTCTTTGAAAACATAAATTACATGAAATGCTACCTTCTCAGGGAACACTATAGACTGCATTAGATGAAATTATTTTTCATAAACTTCCTACAATTGTTTTATTAATTGACACCGAGGGAATGTAGCACCTTTCATTCAAAGAACTAGAGGTGCTTTACAAACATCAGCATTTAAAAAACAGAGACATTTAAAAATCTGAAGTCTTGCAGTTAAATCTCAACTCTGTACACAATTTTCTGAAGGCTGACACAAAGTGATTCTACTTCTGTCAATGGCAGGATTTCACAGTACAGGCATGGAGCTGGGTTTACAGAGAAAACACACACAGATCTTAAATGCAAGGAACATTTTGAACCTTATTTCAAAAGCAACTCAATGTTTAAGATGTCAAAATCTTCCGACAGTTCTAGACATCCAGATGGAATAGGAGCTGACACAGGTTGCATATTAGATGTAGTCTTGATCGAGGCTTTTTAAGATCACGCTCAAGTGAACACATTTAAAGAAATGAGATTCTTGCATTGATTTATGGAAAGCTAGCCAAGTCTATCAGCCAAATGAAGAAAGGGAGGAAGTGGCAATTCAAAGTAGACAGTTCTCACTGGAGCCTAGGACACTTTATTAGAAACCAAGTATATCACAGGCAAATAAAAATAGTTCTTAGCCCCATTGATACAACAGAGGGTATTTTACATTCAGCCTAGACACAGGGAGCAGCAGATTCCCTCAACTTCAGATCTCTGGCTTGCAAGTATCTCTCATCACATGATTACTTTGAATAATAAATACATAGCCCTTGTTTAGTAGAGGGATCCAAATATTCTTTTTCAGGCTTGCAAGGTCCAATACATTCACTCTCTCTTTCCTTCACAAGTCTAATAGAAAAACTACTTTTTCCATGCCCCAAAGCCATTATTCAGTTGAAGAAAAGTCAGGCAAAACAGAGATGGCAGTTAAGAGATGGAAGAATATTATTGGCACATGCCCAGCTAGTGACAAACAAAAGCAATAATACACTGTGACTTGAAAATAAATCACATTAAAGGAGAATGAAAACAATACCAACCTAAGCTAAGGAGTGTGAAGCAGAAAGAGTGGACTGAGAGTTACTGATTTTACTGGTACAACTTAAAAGCAGTGGAGGGCAAGCACTTAAATACAATTTACGGTAACACAAACAAGGAAATACTGCAGAGAGC